AATTCTACAACAAAAATCCCAAAAATCAAAGTTTGAAACCTTGAGCAAAATTAAAGAAAATTCTGCAAAATTTCATTCAAATACCTTCTGCACTTTTTATTTACGCTCTCTAGAAAAAAGTTGAGAATGCAGTTTTTTAGCCCATTCAATTTTAGTATAATAAAGTGCAAGTATGAGGAAGCTGGGACTTGCCATTGATTTTTGGGAAATTGTTTTGTTGAAGGTGTCGCACATTTTTTCCATATAAAAAATTTATCAAACGTTATTTTATATGGAGAAAATGAGCGACACTTCCAACAAAAAAAAAATTGCTAAAAATTAATGGTAAGTCCAAGCCACCTTACACTTGCACTTTTTTATACTAAAATTGAATGGGCTAAAAAACTGCATACTCAACATTTTTCTAGAGAGCGTAAATGAAAAGTGCAATATTTGAATGAAAGTTTGCCGAATTTTCTTGAATTTTGCACAAGGTTTGGAACTCTGATTTTTGGTTTTTTTTTGTTGTAGAATTAACCATATTTTTATAAAAAAATATCGAAAAATATTTAAAAATTAGTTGCCCGTATTGTAAAAAATTCGCTGTACCTAAACTTTATTGACTGACTGTAGATAAATATGTATGCAGCGGCCACCGAAAAATGTAAAAAGGCGAACCCTAGCATCGGAAAAAAAACATTTATCGATATTGCCTTGCAAAAATACTTAAGGACGCCAGGCTTGCAGGGCCTAACTTTGTTTGTTTGTTGTTTGTGGGGTGGTACGGTCTAATATACATTCATAAGTACATATAGGTAGTCATATGTAGTATTATGGAAATTATCTAATGAGCATTCAATCACAACAAACAGATTGCATGTGAGTACACAATTGCAAATTTTTAAGTCTCGAACAGATTTACTAAAGCTAAATCAAAGTAAATTCTTTTTGATGAACAATTCTCAAGTACATATTTTAAGTTGCGATATTTCAAAATGAATAACTCGTTAATTTTCTAGTATAGTAGAAGTCAATGTAAATATGTAAGTATTTTCTATGTATGTAGAAAGAGTAAAGCTTGTAGGTTTCGAATCAATAGATTAAATGGATCCAATAGTTTCATCATATCATATCTTATCTCTGATACGTTTAATNTTTTTTTTTTTTTTTTTTTTTTGAATAGGTACGCTTAGTTTCTAAGATACTTGCAGCAGCTTATATTAATATACGTACATCATTTGTCGATATGTTAAGGTTTTTGTAATACCTTATAGAAAAATCTGTTATCGGTTAAAAATGGCGTACATTTGTATTGGTTACACTAATATGTATTTTTCTTTTTTTTTTAGTTCAAATGTGTCTTTTTAATTGTACTTTGAGTTTAAAGTTAAAACTTTAACCCCCAGTTTCGCCAATCCAAACTTATTATATATATTAAATATTAAATTTTAACAGGGCTGATAAATTTGAAATTGATTGGTGCAATCGGGCATACAACTGTTGTTGGGCTTGTTATTGGATATGTTTGGTAGTGCGTCTGCTACGATGGTGGGTTTGTGGTATAATACATTTCCTATGGGGTTACATGGTTCTGTAAAAATAATTTTAAAGTTCCAAATGGGTATGTAATTTTTTGCACTTCAAATTATATCACGTTTAGTTTTGTTTATTTTATTTTTGAAAGCTGTACAACATTAAGAGAAAATTGGAATGCTATAAATGATAATGTTTTTTAGACGATCCATTCTATACAACTGAGTCGAATGCAAACATTTTTCATTAGAATTGTTTTAAATTTTCAAACTCATGTAGCCCCTTAATTAGGAGTGCAGAATGGACATACTATAGGATTATACCTACGCTACGATTAAAAAAAAAAAAAA